TACTTTAATTTGACCAAAGAAAAAATTTAATAATTGATTATATACAACTTCTTATATGACTTGTACTTCTAAAGTATGTCACTTAAGTTCCTTAACTTTTATGATTGCTCATTTTTTCAAATAATAATATTAACTAAGATTCATTTCCAGTTTTGAAATATTGAGAAACATGCTACACGTTAAATGAATGATTAATTTTTTTTTTTGTATCTTGCTCATTTTTTGTTTTTTTAAATATAACATTTATAACTTTGTTTTAGATTCTAATTTGATTGATCTTTTAATATAAAAAATAACATGTTACCATGATAGTAAAAATAAATTATAAAAACAGAAATATTAATTTTCTTATATTATTTTTTTGATTATTTTTTCTCCTTTTGTGAAAACATACTAGATAACTCCTCTCCAGTCTCTAATTGTCAAATCGTGACTCATCATGCCCTTAATTATATTTGTTGAGAATGGGTCAAACCTGCATAATATGAGCATCTGATGCCCGGCTTAATTTTTATTCAACAATTTCTCATCGCATTGGGATTCGAAACGGCTTGTGCCAAAAGATCTGGGGCATCAAATCAAACTAGTAACTTGTTTTTTAAAGAAAAAACTAGTAACTATCAATTCATTTTTATAATAAAGATAACAATTGGCTATATATTTTATATTAAGCTTTACTTATCTGATTTATTTTCTATCACAAACAGAAGAAAAAAAGAGTTTTTATCTGATTCTGAACCAATGTCCCATTCACGCCTCCTTCCCACATGTGGACTGGAACTGGATCTCATCATAGTCTCTGGTCGGTCCAACTACCACAATAATATTTTAATAAAAGTGAATTTGCGTTCACATGTAACAAGAAGATTACCGTTGAAAATCGTTCCATAGTAAGTTAATAGTTAGTAAATACCTCGTTTAATATACGTATATGTATCCGTATGTACTTTATTTGTTTAAAATTTTCGTATCCGTATTATTGTCAAGTCATTTCATTTGTTTCCATTCATTTGACGGCTCATGTACTAAACACGTATAAAACCCATATAACACGTTTAATATCCGTATTTAATGAATTAAATTATTAAAGTAACTATTTTTTACATATTTATTTATTTATAAAAATAATTAATTTTATATATTTATGACTATTAACGTACTATTAAACGTAACATTAGCTTAGAGTCTAAGTACAATACCTGTATGTATTTTATATGTAACTTTCCCGTACCGTATTTTACTAACTATGGGGGTGATAATCGGTTTGTATAACTGGTTATCGAACCGGTAATCGGCGGTAACCAACAGTACTAGTTGGCGGTAGCCACCACAACCAAACGGTATACCAGATCTTTTCCTGTAAATAACCTTCGGTTACAAGGTATACCGGATTATAAAAACCAACTTTAGTTCGGTTTCTATATTTATTATTATATTAGGGTCATTAGTCTTTTAGTCGTATTAGGTTATTTGTAAGGGTTTCTCGTTCTTTTCCTATATATATACGTCATTATTCGTCTATTGGAAAATGAAGAAAGAATTAAGAAAAGTATCTCTCCCTAAACCCTATTCTATTTCTCTCAACCTCATCTTCTTCCGTAGCTTCGGTCGCCGGCTATTCTACTCTTTTTTTTACCTAATTCTCTTCTAAATCCCTAAATTCCTAGAAATTTTCAATCTCAGCAATCTGATCGATACAACCCTAGAAATAGGTTTCTATCATTTGGTATCAGAGCCTCTTGATCACACTTCCGCTACAACCCAACACCATCACCATGCCCACCAACTTTACCATCGGCACGGTAACCCTTCTCTCTGAAATCAAAACCGCGGTGGTGGACGAGCTCAAATCCGCCATGATTTATGAGATCCAGACTGCTATTAGTTTTGAAATTTGGCCGCTGCTGGCGGATTTCTGTGTCGACAACGGACGTCGTCTGGAGGTAGAGGTGGCGACAGGTCGTTGCCTTGACCAGTTGGAGCTGCGAGTCGAGCAATTAGAGAAACTATTTCCAGTGGCTCCCGTCGTGCGTTCTGAGGATAAGGAAAGAAAACCCAACACGTGTGTGGCGGTCACAAACTTACCTTCCATCCATCTGGAAGATCGGTCGTCGTCGGAAGTTGGGGTGAAAATGGTGGGCGGCGATATCTCCCTTCCTTCCATCGACCTCCTTACCTCCTGTGAAGAACAACAACATTCGTCCCTAGTGGGCCACCATGTTCCAGCTGCTTATTCCAATGAGCCAAATAAATTGGACCATTTAATGAGTAGCAGACACAAGGCGTATATAATGGGTTGGACCGGGAGCAAGGTCTTCCCTAACCAAACAGTTGTACATTCAACTGGCCATCAGGTTCTGAGTTCGACCACTATACCAGCTGGGTCCAACCAAATTTGACCCGACCAGTCCACAGGGTGAGAGAAAATTGAACCATCAATGGTTGGATTCAATGGACCAACATGTGTTGGATCATGATTCGACATAGCAAACCAAACAGGCTAATTACCGTGTCTATCATGGGCGCGCGATGGCGGTGTTAAAGCCAGGACAAGTGCATCGTGTGGAATAGAGCTTGAATGACTCATATGAACATGAATGTGAGTGAGATGATGATGAGTACTGGCCTTTGCCAAGGCGTTCCGACGATAGCCACACTTTGCCAATCAAGATGGTTGCACAACGATTCAGCCACGATGACAGAAGCAGGTTCACCAGCCGCTCAAGGTATAGAGACAAGGGCGGTCATGGCTATCGTGCTCCTTTGGGCTTCATATATCGATAGGATTAGCAGTATTATTTTATTTGGCCAGCCTTGAGGCAAGGTTATCTCAAGGGGGAGGGGATGATAGAAACCAACTATAGTTTGGTTTCTATATTTATTATTATATTAGGGTGATTAGTCTTTTAGTCGTATTAGGTTATTTGTTAGGGTTTCTCGTTTTTTTCTTATATATTTACGTCATTATTCGTCTATTGAAAAATGAAGAAAGAATTAAGCAAAGTATCTCTCCCTAAACCCTATTTTATTTCTCTCAACCTCATCTTCTTCCTAGCCGCGGCCGCCGGCCATTCTACTCTTTTTTCCCTAATTCTCTTATAAATCCCTAAATTCCTAGCAATTTCCAATCTCACCAATTCGATCGATAGAACCCTAGAAATATGTTTCTATCACCGAATAACCGAAATTCACCCTCATATTCGATGACTTTCCATTCCGCTCTTCTCTCCGTTTTCTTCATCACCGAATAACCCTAGAAAATTGTTTCAATCAGTCGCATAACGGTCGCTAGTCTCCTAGCCGTCACCAATCATCACCACCTCGTCGTCTCCCGACGATTCAACCAACTCGCCTCACCGATCGTCAGCCCCCTAGTCGTCGTTCTCACTCATCGGAGGAAGGAACCATACTTCCCTCTGTCGATTGTGTAGTGGCTTCCTAGCTGTGGGAATATGCCTACTACAGGATGAGACCTCATCTGACCGCCGCCGACTTGGACGATTAGTTTTTCGACGGTTAGCCCCTGTTACTCAATCGCTGTTATTGTAACATTCAGCCTCTACATTAGGGTTCCCTTGTTCCTGATGAAAAATGGATCGAGTTATATCTCTGGATCCTAATTGTTTCATGGTCTGATAGCGCGATTTCTTTGGCCGTGATGAATCTGATATATGCACAGCAAACATAAGAGTAAGCGATAATAAGCGCCCGATACGCACAGTAATTGTCAACACATAATATGTTCATGGGTATTCCGTAGTTCAAACAGCAGATATAGCAAAATATTGAACTCATCACGTGTTGCTGACGGCGAAACTTGATGAAGATTCTGCGATGACCCCTGTATGTTGTTCTGAGTCTCGATACCTGTATCCCCAAACACAGCTGAAGAAGTTGTAAGATCCTCCGATGTTTGCTTGGAGAGTTCAACTCTAGGTCTCTTACCTGTCAAAGTGTGATATTGAGATTTTCTTATTCTCGGTGGCATTGCTGCACAGAGAAGACAAAAAATGGGAAAAGATCAACATCATTTACTGGCGAGATGATTCATTAATCGGTTCCAAACGAATAGAAACGGATTCAGATATATCGAACGAGGAAGTGGTGAAAAAGAATAACAGCGACTGCTCTTACATACTCAGGAGACTCATTGATAACAAATATAAATGAGAAATCACTCTACCTTCGACAATCAGGAACGTGATGGTTGTATAGATGAGAATCCAAATTCGTTGGGCAAGCAAAGGATACAAATGAGCAAATCTGAGATGAAGAATAAGAGTGGAGGGAGAGATGTTTCTGAAGAAGTTAACATAAACCCAATGAGTAAGAAAACCTATATTAAAATGTGCCATCATGGATATCAGAACTATGCATAAGTATCTATCTATATTAAAATGTATTATTATGGGAATGTGAGACATGCATTAGTATATTACTTACTAACTCACAGAATATCTAACCTTATACTTGATTACTAAATTGAAGAAAAGCAATCATTTTAGTTTGGTCTTTGTATAAAAAGAGGCCCCACCATGTTAAGAACATACATTCCCATCGCGGATTGCATGAGCGTTTTTCCTTTTCGGAACACGCGAACTCAATTGGAATACATAAACTATATTAACGAATTAAAAAGTACATTCCTATCTAACTACTCGATAATTATACATGCCCAAGCGTGCATTTTTATGTCCGTCGTTTTCACATAAGATTGAACATACTCCGATGATCGTGGTAACTAAATTTGTAGAAGTTAACCTCTAATATAACATAGGTTTGTTGGGTCTTAAGAGGAAGGATCAACCAAAGCTCAGCAGAACTGGAACACGACAACGCTAAGAATTGGCATTCACCGAAGCTGAAAATTGAAATTGCCTATTCACCCAACAATAAGCAAAAGTAACATTATATATATAGCACCCGGTAAGATCAAACAGCATGGCAGCAATATTGCAGTGAGCAACCACGCAAAAGTTATACAGTATAACATAAAACAGCTACGACTCCGAGGGCACCATCGAACATAGATCAGTTCCTGCTACAAACAAAATAGGAAGATGAGAAACATTGTATGCACAAAAACTAACTTGCAACGAAGATGCGACGGAAAGACCGAGGAGTAATCACTTCTTAAACAAAGCACGCTTTGCTGCCGAATTTTTCAAACTATCCACTGAAGAATCCCTTTCCATATTAACTCCTGCCTGCGAGGGAGCACCATGTGAAACTTGAGCGACATCGGCAGCATCCAATTTCTCCACTTTTATCTTGGTGAGTGGAGAGACCAACCTTCAACCAAATAGAGTTCCTAATTGTCAGAACCAGGGAAACAACACATGTTTAAGACAATGGAGAACTGGTAATGTACAATAGAAATACTTACAGCGATGCCGAAGGCGGGGCAGCGGTTGAACCTAAGGGCTTCCCAGGAGATGATTCAGGGGAAGGCTTGAGAATCTTTGAAGCAGGCATAGATAAATCACGACCAACATCTTGAGAACTCATCGACTCATCAATCCTGGCTGATCGCCTGGGGACCATCGAAGTAGCAGACTGGGTGGATGGAGCGCTGGATTGGACTGCAGAAGACGCGACCATAGTTGCAGCAGGTAGGGTGGACCCCACCTGTACACCCATCACTGAAAGCTGCGAATCGCCGAGAACCCGCGACGCAGCATCAATATCCTCACCTCCGACATTTACAGGAATAGGATCCCGCAAAATCCTGGGCGCAGGGCTAGAAAATCTGCAAACCATAATAACCAATTTAGACAACATCCCTAAACAACATCACAAATAAGTAAAATAAGCTTCATGAAAACCATGACCACCTCTCAATTACATCCTCCTGGTCAGCGATGTTAAATGGCACAGTTGATGCTTCAATAGGGATTGAATCTGAAACCTTTTCCTTTTCCTTCGCAGCCCTTGAAAACATATTACAAAAATTACTCACTTTAATCATGACAGATAAACCAATGCAAGTCATACAGGAAACATAGCTAATAACACCAACCTCGATGAACCCGATGGGCCTCCCACGCTACTTGCTGCACCCAAAGAGGGAGAAGCCGGCGGCCGTGGCGAAGAAAACTCAAGCAAATCACCCACCACCATAGGATCATCAAGAGGGACGACCTGGGTAACACGGAATTCACCCGAAGAGAAACCAGTAGGGCCCGGCAACGGCAATCTACAGTCAAACTTGACATATTGCCCTCGCAATTGATGCAACTGTGGGGGCAGCTGACCAGGACGATGGGGAAACCTCTGGGCTAGGTGTGCAGCAGAAACGTTGACCAGCGCAAGCGCACACCCCCCCCCCCCATCAGTGTAAAGCGAGCCTCGCAAGAGTCGTCCCTCAGTGTAAGCAAGAGCTAGTAGCTGAAGGAATAAAGAACATAAGCAGCAAAACTCATAACAGACAACAAAGACACAAAAAACACAGATATGCAATCATACTTGACCCGGGTCTGTTCCTCATCCAGCTGCCAATCCTTTGGGCACCAAAACGAATCATCACGACGTTTCGAAACAGCCCTTGAACATAACTTGCATGAAATATAATACCAAGGTGTGCTTGACTCGACATCAACAATCACTCCACCACAGCTATACTTTTCTTCCTAAAAAAGAAAAGAAAGCACGTCACTTGCAAGAACGGGACAAAAACAAAAGCATCCAACTTTTTGAGAGGAATAAGCAAAACCAGCGAGGAGTTCGTCCTAGATAAGGCCACCAACTGCCCCAAAGTCTTGGTGCGACGATCTACATCAGTTGTAGCTTCAGCAGCAGTAGCAAACTCAACTGGCAGGGACGCAACAGTCTCGTGTTTCTCAGCAAACCTGGCAGAGATCCAAGCACCATAAGCACAACAACATAGAGTTCTTAACACACAACACATTACACGAACATGACACATAAAAACGGACACATCCCGCAATTAGCTTACCTAGATGCAAGATAATAAGCCTTAGGTACTGGCGGGTTGACTGCTACGCGAGTAGCGGCCGAACTGGACAGGACATAATCATCTAAAAAGAAGCACAAAAGAGACAGAAGGGAGGGTAAAACCAAGCACGCTAATGAGCACCACATAATCTCGAGAAAAGGTGCATGCAATAAGGCAACCACAACGTACCCCCAACTTATTAACCAGCAAGCCGCCAAATGCCAATATGACAGCTTCAATCGAGTCAGCCTGAGTGAGAGCAACATGATCCAACACTGCCGAGAACTCATCCCAGAGCGTAATCGAGACCTTCGATCCACTAAGGAAGTATATAGGGACACGTAAGAAAAGCAAAAAACAAACACGACACATACAACCAAACTCAGAAACCCAGGAAAAATGCGTAATACCTTTCATCCTCAATAATAACCGTCTGCTTGACAGCGGGACCGTTATTGGTGATCTTGTGGGATATCCCACTGATCGAATGGAGTCTGCCAACAACATCTACGAAGAAAGACACACAGCGGCAAAATCTTAGCAAACAAACCAAAGACATATAAGCAAAACCTAACCCGAGAAAACAAACCCACTGACCTGTCAAGTAACGATGATTACCGGCACGAATACTTAACTGGGAGAAAACCACAAACTCGTAAGCATCAACCAGGAAACTCTCAACAGGAAGAGCACAGGGCAGGAAAGAAGTCGAAGGCGAAAGACCCAAAGCCAAATCAAAAGAACACGACCGATACTGATTCGGCGGATTGCTCAGAGCGAAGGACTTTATGACATATATCATCCCAACCGAGAGATTACGACGAATCCCAGCAGCCATCGAAGTTGGCGAAACGCCCTGAATCAGCATACCCTGCGTAGACCACGCCATTCCGGCTCGTGAACAAAGCAAAACGGCGAGAACAAATCAGAGCACAGAAGAGAAAGCGAGAAGGGCAAGAAACTAACAGTTTCGTCGGTCCAAAGAGTGCAGTAATTGTAGATCCTGTTGTCCCCCGGAGACTTCGACGGCCACACATGCAGCAAGCGGAGGCGCGAAGAAATCCCGGCATTGCGCGGGCCGCCGAGGTTATAATGCAATGTGAATTCCACGTTCTTGGAGACGGAGAGAACCGAAGAGGGTGGGAACTTTTTTTTTTTTTTTAGAAACAGACCAGAATGACAGAGAAGAAGTTTCGGCGCCACAGGAGAGTATAAAAAAGAGTGACAGGAAAAGTAGCTTAAAGGGCGGTGCATGTCAATTTATGGTCCAATAACGAACGGAACGTAAGGTAGGGCAAATAGCACCCTCGCAAAGATATAAGGACGGGGGGAAATAAAAAATCGCCAGGGATAGGAAGTATAAAAAGAAACGGAGAATTTTGAGGCGCCGAAGCGGCGGGTGTCAGATACCAAGCCAAACGCAAAGAGTTACGCACTCCCCGAGGCCCAAATGCATGAGAATGTGCAGAAAGAAGAAGCGGCCATCATTGGCCATAATTCAGAAAAGCAAGAACAAATATACACGGCAAGAGAGAAAAGCAATGAATGACGTATAGAATGACCGGTGTAATCATTATAAGAAGGTATAATTCTCGGTGAGGATGCTCGAAGGAAATAGAAAGCGAAGGGAGGATGAACGTGCAGCTGAGGGCAACGCGGCTCACACAGCATCAACGACGGGACCCAGATGCAGGAAGCCAACCAATCAGCAAAGGCGGCTGGTCCCAATCGCAGAGGACGCACCAATGGGAGGAGGGTGAACAGTAATTTTGAGTCTAAATGAACAGGAATTTCGTGTCTAAGTGTACAGTAACTTGTCTTTGCAAATAACTTGTTCTAATATTTAGAGTATACGTTGTTTATTTTTTTATATCAAAATGAAGTAGAACGCATGTTTACTCATATTTTTCACCAAATAATTCTGTTTTTACATGTAGGAACGGTGCATAATTCTTGAGCATGGTAGTGCTCATTTTAGAAACATATTAGGCTGAAACAAATGAAACCAAATATTCATTTATTAATCCCAAATGCACTGAATGGAAATTACATTTAACTCTATTCCCATAAGGAAAAGCAAACAGAATAATACAAATTTTAAGCAGGAAAAACACAGTAGCCCTACTACGTGCAGTTAACAATCACTCCACGGGCGAATTCAGGACGTCCAAAACCTTGTCGAAGCTCAGGTAAGCCGACCCGCCAACTGCCGTCGCCACCTCAGCTTTCTTCTTCCACTCCAATGCCTTGGCCTTCATCCTCTTCCCTTCCTCCCCTTCCATCATCTCCTTCACCAGCTCGCATATATTCTCCCTCTTCACGTCCGGGTCGATCTCCACCCCGACCCCCCACACCTTGGCCGCGAACCGGCAGTTGGTCGGCTGCTCCGCGAAGTACGCGCAGCAGATCATCGGCTTCCCGCCGCACACCGCCTCGACCATCGAGTTCCACCCGCAGTGCGTCAGGAACGCGCCCACCGACGGGTGGTCCAGCACCTTATCCTGCGCGCACCAGCTCGCAATCATCGCCCTATCCTTCACCTGTTAGTAACGGAAAAAAACAGGTTATCGAATCTGAAGCAGAGTCGCACGTGCAGTGAGACTTATATCTTTCAAAAGCTATTCATTTCCAGAATCACTCGCCTCGTCGTGGAACTCCTTGTTCAGCACGCCGGCCATGTCCTTCACGACGTCGCGCCTGACGATCCACAGGAACCGGTGCTTGCTGCCCGCCAGCCCCCAGGCGAACTCGCGGAAGTGCTGCTCCGACAGGACGGCGATGCTGCCGTAGTTGACGTAGACGACGGAGCCGTCCGGCTGGGCGTCGAGCCAGTCGAGGCAGTTGTCGTCGTCCTTCCAGAGGGTGGGGCGGTGGGCCCGGACGGGCGAGTCGTTTGGCACCACGTGGCGCTCGAGCAGGGAGAGCGGGCCGATCGGGTGGAGTTGGTGCGGGTAGAGCTTCTTGAGCTCGTCGAAGATTTCCTGCTCGAACTCCTCGAAGATGTTGAAGATGATGGCCGGGGCGCGGAGGTCGTCTTGGACCTCGTCGCGGAGGCAGTTGAGGAGGATGGCGTTAGGGTTTGTGGTGCGCGTGGCGAAGGGGAGGTCGCGTAGCCGCGCGTGCTGCAACCCCGGGATCCAGCCGACTGGTGTGTCCAGGCTGCCGTCCGACTCGAAGCTTTCACCTGCCACCAATCAAAGCAAGCAAGGAGGGACACTCATTTTTTCTGACGCAGTGAAATCATTCTTTATCACTTGTTTTACTAATATGTTATTGACAAATACCTCAAGTTATATACTACCTGTGAATAATTAAGTCAAATGAAATATTTGAAATATCAATTGTACAATTAATGAGATATCTCAGTCTTCCAATATCAGACTAACAATCAGATTTGTTGAGAAAGTAATCCAAGGAGGTAGTAAGGGTGGGGCAATGGGCGGGTTGGGTGGATTTTGGTATAAAATTGACCTACCCGCTTATTAGCGGGTTGGAATACATGTGACCCGCAACCCACCCACATACTTATGCGGGTTGGGTTGGGTGGGTGACGGATGAGTGCGGTTGAGTCGTGGGTTAACCCGCAAAAACAATTCTCCAACTAGCCATTAAGAAAATTGACAAACATTTATAATAAATTCATAGCAAATTAGTAAGATTGTATCAATAATTTGTGATTTTGATACAATTAATAATTTATAGTTTGTATCTCAATATTTAATGGATATTAACAATAATTTGCATACCAATATCCAATAGATATTGCAAAAATATTCTTTATTCTCCACCTTTTAAAGTATATGGTCAGACTGTATTGCCGTTTGAAAATATGATGAATATTTGATACTATAAGAAACACTATTTTTCCATGTAAAAATAGAACGTGGGTCATAAGGATGACCCACAATCCACCCACCATCCACCCACATAAGTGCGGGTGAGAGATTTAATAATTCGCAATCCACCCACATCATTTACTCACTGTGAACGGGTCGGGTTATTTGCAGGTGGATCAATATCAATCTGCGGATTAACCACCCACGTGCCCACCTCTAAGAGGTATTACTAATGAAGCCAAAAACGGTATAAAAAACTTTGAAAATGAAACCCAGTTAAAACTAAAAGGTCCTCAGTCACAACTTAGGTCCACCTATAGATGGGCCAGTTGAATTATTGTGTGTCCCTTTCTATCAATCGGTTACGCTGGTCACACTCACACAATTCTACTTACCCCCCACAATTAATGGACGGTCGCAAAAAAGTTGAAAGAATAGACGACCACTGCTCCCACTTGTAAAAATAAATACAGTTATTTGTCTATTTATAGATATTTTTTAGGGAGCGGATAGGGTACAAAATCTCAATCTGTAAAATTAATCGTATCACGACATATGATAAATTGTTACGATAAGTATTTTGCATGATTTTGCAGGCAGTGTTTCGTACCGAAACCAAAGCCCTTTTTAGTAAGGTAGTTTAAAAAACTTAGAATCTCATTGTTACGAAATTAAACTCTCTTCACAGTAAACAAAACATTATGATATACGTAAGTAAATAACACAAAATCAAACCGAGAACATTGAAAATCCTCATCTTTCTAACTTGTAATTAAAAAGAATCTCTCATTTTGCTTAATATGTAATAAAAAATCTTCTAGCCATAACTAAAAAGTCATTTTAATCCAACACATTAGTTTCGACCAGATAAATTTGTTTTTTTTTTAATCATAAATGCATTTTGTGATATGTCTATAATATGTTAGTTTATTGGCTAGCTAGCGAAATGTCTGGCACAATCAAATAAATAATTTGATGAATAACCATTTGGTCAGATATATGGAAGGGAATCAACTTGAATTATAACATTATATAATTATTCCTAATTGGACTCACTAAACTTTACTAAACGCAAATCGTGTGGCTACGCCACTCGTTAGTATAACTCACTCTTGTGGGGAATAAGTCCCTTCTGGGTGAGCTGACCAATGTGAAGATAGGCCATAAACCCACAGGCCGATGCCGTCCAAAACGGCACCGCGGGGACTCCAAGCTTCTCGGCGGCCAACATCCCGAAGCACATGAACCCGTCGGGGATGACGCACGTGATCTTCGGCACGTGCCCGCCGGAGGCGTTGACCCGGTCCAGCAGCTCCATGAGTGGTCCAAACATGTACTTCCGGGCCGAGTCGCAGAGGGCTTCGATGTCCTGGGTCGCGTCCGGGTCGGATTCGGGCAGCCCGTCGGGCATGGACTCGAACACGAAGTCCGGGCAGCCCTTGAGGAACTGCTCGCCCTTGGAGCGGAGGAGGCGGTTGTGGTTGAAGTGGTTGTTGACGAAGGTGACGTGGAAGCCCCGGGAGTGGAGGAGCTTGCCCAGCTGCATGAACGGGTTGACGTGGCCCTGGGCCGGGTACGGGATTAGAACCGCGTGCGGTTTGTTGATCGAACCCATTTTTTGGTTGGTTTTGGGGGTTTGGTTGCTACGTGTATCGAGTTGCTGGCTAGTGTGGAAATTATGGGAGGGGAAGCAGTTTGATTGGGATCGCTTCCCAAATGGTTGCCATATATAGACGGGCAGTAATGAGTGACGACGACTGAAAAGAGGCATCTCTCTGTCTTTCACATATTTTGATTGAGAATGCCTAGTTACACTTCACACTCGAGATGGTAACAAATCAAGTCGGGGTGGGTAGTGCATATTTAATATCCGAACTAAAGTAGTTTGGCTTTTACGCATGCTAATATAAGAATTAGGTAAAAAAAATCAAATTTATGTACATATGTGATCGAATTTTGGGTATTTGTGTTATCCATAAGTAGTAATTTTTCTACATACCTTCAATAAACATGTTAACAACTACACTGTATGTTAGACATTACTTAAGTGTCAAATGTTATTGTGAGAAAAAAAAAGGATTATTTACAGATAAAATGCATACACATATGTATATTCGGAAGGGTTCGAGTTGGATAGTTAGAAAACCATGTCCACCCATTACTCGCAATATTCGGATTTGAGTTTAAGTTTTACCTTACTCAATTAAGTCGGATTCGGACGAATATAAATGGATATGGATACTTTTGTCATCCCTACTTCTCAGCCCATTTCTTTTCTGAACGACTAACCCGTCGCTTTAATTTTGTTATTATCGTTCTAACTTAAAACATATAAAATTACTAAATTCTCCTTCATTAATCAAACTAAATTCAACAAATAAACAACCGCTATATAAAATCCCTCATCACCATTCATATATCATATCTTCCATAGAAGTGCAAATTAGACAGATCAAATACCAAACACATGAAACATAAGAGCGCAAAGTACAAACAAGCAACATTGCTACCAGTATATTATGTTTGGTTCCACTTTTTTATGAAAGCAATGTTTTATTTCATCAGAAGCACTCTAACCAAAGGGCAAAGTACATTGGCAAGTTACCATATATGGAACAAAGAAATAAAACAGAAAGGACTACATCTTGTACTTGAAAATTACCTATCTGCATCTACAATTCCCATGGACAGAACAGAAGGGAGAAAAAGACCAACACAGACAAAAAAAAAAAAAAAAGATTCAGAAGCATGAAAAGGACTAATCACATAAGGAACCAGTTGATTGTCTCCAAAAACCTTGTGCATAATGTCCTCCATCTTCTTCAGCAGCTCCCTTTGTAGAGGACTCTTCTTACCATACAACCGTCTGCACTCTCCCTTACACTCTTCACATACCGTCATGTTCCAAACCAGCTTCCCCACTTGACTGTGTTTAAACTATCTCACAGCTTCCAAAATACCATCAATCGTCCCACCCTGCAGCTGGCCTGTAATTCCAGGAGCCTACAGCAAATATCTCAATGTTGAATCGAAGTTAGATATCTCATTCGTTTTCCGTTTATAACAAATTTATGTTATATATTCAAAATAATTAAGAATCGAATTTAGTTGTGAGTTGGATTAGGATACAAATCCCAATAGTTTTGTAGTCCTACAAAATCGTCAATGTACTGAGATTTGAAAAAAATTTCATCTCATTATCACAATTATTAAAAATAAAATAAAATAAAAAATAACTAATTTCACCTAATGCCTAAAATTCCAAACGGTTGTTTGCTTTTCTCCACCACCACCAAGAGGGAGGGAGGGGGCCAGACCGTCGCCTCCGACTCCCACCACTGCTCATCAGTGGCGGGGCCAGGAAATTTATATAGGGGTGTCCTCTTTCAAAAATTAAATAATTTAAATTAGAAAATATCTAACTAATACAAGTTACAACAAAAGTCTACGGCATGTTACAAAATATACTCAGTGTCTGGACAACTCAACAAATATCACTATCTTACTATACAATCATTCACAAACTGATCATTTAATCAATTTCGAAACTTGTTCTTAAAGTTTCCCAAAACTAAATATGTTATTTCAACACCTGCAGTTGCAATCGGCAAAATCAATTACTTTGAGAAGCAAGTAAACTAAAGGATATGATAGAATGGAGGGAATAAGGATAACCCGTAATCAGGTTCAATTGTTAGATTTTCAAAATAATTGGGAGAAGGAATATCATTTTTACTATTAAACTAGCGTTTAAAATACAATAACAAATGAGTTGTGGTCTGATAAAAACATGTTTACTAATAATCTTAATATCCTAATTTAAATCACTTAGTCTATCACTTATATTTTGTATCCACACGAAAACTACTACCGGGGATTGGATAATCGTTATCCCAAAAATTAGGGGTGTCCCGCAACACCACAATACCCCTGCTCCGCCCCTGCAGCTCACCACCCCAGCTGCCCCCGCCGCCTCTCTCCGGCAAGCCCAATCTCACCACCTTCTAGCTTCCGTCAAAATTAGGGTTCCGAATCGGCAGTTCGTCCAATTAGGAACTCTATCCCCGACTTCCGCCTCAGTTTCCTCCTCTCGTCCGTCGATGGAGACGACAAAGACTACTAAAGTGCAACTGCTGCTAAGTGGAATTCTCGAATGGATTTTTACCATTGAAGACAAATAGATCAGTCCAAAATGAGAGGGAATCCTCGAATACCCTTAACCAAATTCCGCCGATCTAATCGATCTCAAGAGGAGCCAGCCGTCCGGGTTCAAGCTCTACGGGCCGCAGAACTCACTGAAGAATCTCAAGACCACCCCGTTCCTCGCCCAGCTGGGACCTGTATCCGGATTCAACCCAGGAAGCTGCTACGCCAGCCCAATGAGCTCCAATATCACTGTCAGTGTTTTGGGGTTCAGCGGTGGGTTGATAATGAGGTGGAATTAGGGTTTTTTCTACAGATGGTGATAGTTAGGTGGAAATTGTAAAATTTCTTATATTTTATTATTATTATTTAATTGTCACGTCACTGATTTAACGGTCAACTATTATAGTTGACTGTTACGTCAGATAAAGTTAACGGAGCGACCAAACATGAATTATTGAGATAAACTTTAGTGACCATAAACGAAATTAAATATTTTTAACGACTAATCCTGAACGTTTTTAGTAATCCAAGTAACCAAACTTGCAATTAAACACATTGTTTAACACATAGGATTTTCTGCCCACAAACTTGACTTTAACAATCATTATACACGCTTCATCATGGTTGTCACGCCGGCCGGCGTGCCACCGGTTGTACCTGGTTCAACCGGTACCGGTCATAAAACCGACATGACATCACCGGTATGACCGGCATGATCGATATACGAATCTCTAAGTAAAATGACCATATTTTAGTGAATTTAATTGATAAAATTTATTTTATTATTTATTTTATGAGTATAAAAGTTAAATATTGATGTTATTTGTTGGATTCAAGTATAAATGTTTAGGTATTGACGTTAAATGTCATGTTTAAATATGAGTATTTATAATTTTATTTATAATATTGACCGGCATGAACCGGTACAAACCGATATGTGCCACCGGTTGAACCATTCCACTTGCTAAACCGGCACACTGACACAAACCACAAACCGGTATGTGTCACCGGTTGAACCATTCCACTTGCTAAACCGGCACACTGACACAAACTGGTTTGACAACCTTGCGCTTCATATTAATATATACATGAGAATATTAACTAATGATTAATACTAATATATTAATATAATTAAAGATATCATCATACTCCGAATCAATTAATTGTAAACCACAAATGTCCCCAATCGAAAGCCCCTCCTTTTCGGCTTTCTAGAAGCACGGTACTGAAGGGCCTCCCAGCACCCCTGTTGGCCGCCCTGATTTTCATGTCCTGAGTTTACCCAATATAGACGACAGTTATTATCAGAAATGGCGCCATGGTCTACCTACTCACATTATTGGTAGCACTATGAATATACAGTAACGTCAATTATGTCCTATAATAGTCAATGCCAATCACTCAGTTCGAATTTTGAAAATTTCGAATGTAAACCGATGAGGGTAGAAAAAGTCCAAACGGTCGGAGCAAAAAGTCATTCTCGATCTGGTAATCCTGAACGGTCTGGTATTGTCGCATGAGATTACGAAATCTACACATAATATAATACACGGAAGGGAAAAACAAGAGTCACATTTCAAATTTCCTGCAACGAGAGTGAAAGTAGGAAGGACATTTTGGTCTTCACAATTACTTTTTTTTATTCATTAAAAAGACACGTACTGGGATTCGAACCATGACCATTTTAAAGAAAAGCAAGAATCATAACCAATCACACTAAGTAAATTTGTTGTATCTTTTTAAATTAAAAACATATAATAGCAGGGAGGAAAAAACTCTTCCCCCATTTCAAATTCCATGCTCCCGGAGCGTTTGTAGGAAGGGTAAAATAGGGAGTGTCAATTTTTTTCTCTTTCCTCTGTGGAACGGGCCAACTTACCGTACACATGCGGATTTAAACGGGTCCAGGAGTGTCAATTTTTTTCTTTAAGCCATTTTATTTCTCCCTGGTGATAAAATATATATGAAAAGGCAAAAAGCCAAAAACAATACTCCTTTTTATTGCTAAAAATAAAAAATTTAACAATGAACTAATGCATGGTATCTAATGGGCTAACGCTAACCATAAAATAAAAGAGTTGAATGGGTCTGACCTACACGAGATTTAGCCATCAAGTAAAACAAATGAACATCATTGGTTTGCCATTCTAAAATAAGCTATTTTCTCTGGCATAATATATATTATGCTATTATTTTATATCTTAGTGGCTAATATATAATGTATTTTAAAGTTATTCAATGGTTCAACCTCAACCAACCCAATTAGTCCAATTTTTATCATTTCAAATATATATTATATAATTATTTGATATCATAATGATCAGATTATAGTGTATTTTATAGGGAATCGTTTGGTATTTGTTAGTAAAAAACTAAACAGAACGATCTATTTGGTTATTTTAAACATTAAAACGATCCTAAACATTTTCAGTTCCTTTTGAATTTTTATAGTTTTATTCTCGAATAAGT